TTTCGATGTTTTCTTTTACTGAAACATCCTTAACATTCATTTTTTCGATGCTTATTTTTTTTTTGAAACATCATTAACTTTTCTTTTTTCGATGTTTACTTTTTTTGAAACATCATTTCATCATATTTAACCTTAACAATTTGAGAATTCTGCTGTTTAATGTGCAAAGATAAGTTGTCACTTTTAGAATTAGCAGAGATGATCAGTCTCTTACCAAATAGAGTAACAACTGGCCAGACACAATCAATAAACAAACAAAAATCCCTGCAAGTCTACAACCCTACTAAAGCATATGGTAAATCAGTATCAAGTATGAAAAACTTAACTGATTAAACAATCTCGCCTATCGTAATAAGGGAAACTCACAAATTTTGCTAAGTGTTAACTGTCCTTTTGTTTGGGTAACCTTAAGTTTTCACATTTTTTAAATAGGAATATTTAGTTTTGACCAAGTCCGAAAAAGTAAAATAATTACTAATTTCTTTAAGTTTATTTGAAAACTCTTCATCGTTAGGTTCAAAAGAAAGTTCTGAACAATTTAATTTTTTATGTGGTTAGATCTAGAAAAATCATTTGGAAACAAAAGTTTAAAAACTTAATTTAGTTTGCCGTCACTAGTTTAATTGACGTTTGAACCACATTTTTTTTTCTTCAAAAACATTTTAAATGCACTATAAAACAGTTTTATATCATAATTTTAAAAAGAAACAATATAAACACTACAAATGCAATCTAATCATTAATAATATACTATTGAACTATTCGTAATAAGAAGTTTAGAGCAAGGCTCAAATCTGACTTTAATAAAATATGAACAACCTACTCTCCAACTTCGACCTTCATCAATTTCGTTGAAGAGAAAAAAAAAAAAACATTTTAATGGCATTTTTATCTTCACCCAAAACACTATAGTAAAACAAAAATATAATTCTACTAATCAATTATTCATGGAAACTGTAACACATAAAACAATAAATTTGAAAATAATTTCTCGAAACATTTCTTATGATAATCAATTCACTGAAAATAAAAATTTCAAGAAAAAAAACTTCAACAGTAAATACGATTAATGCATTAAAAATAAATTTTTTGCAAACAATTTTATCCACGGTTTGCTAAAAATTTCTTTGTTAATTTATACAATTTTCCATGTGCAAATCCATTTCGGGCAAATCCGTGGTTAAAATTATCTGCAAAAATTTTTTCTTTGTTAATTTTTCTATGTGCTACTCCATATCGTGCAAATCCGCGGCTAAAATTATTTGCAAAGCAGGCAATTTATGTTTCTCTTTTCTATTTTATATTTTTTCTTAAATAAACATCTATCTTCTAAAACTATCTATGATCAATTTTTAAAATTATCCAGTATAATATTACCTTGCGCACATCCATTTCGGGCCCATCCTTGGTAACTAACAAATCAAAACTCANTGCACACCATATTTTATTCATTATTGCCTGAAAATAAAACACAAACAAAGTTTTACTTTAGCAGAGTAAAAGGTAAATCACAAATATCGAAATCGGAAGGACGAAAAAAAAGTTCCTCGCAGAAATTTTAATTTAATTTTCATCACGCTTTAGAATCTATATTGTACGAAATAAAAATGTTAAATATTACCTTCCACGTACGTGATCTTTGCGCAAAATTGAACTATGAATCATATAAAATAGCGTTTAAATTGAAGATTTAAAATGATATATGAGTAATACACTAGGCTGAATATTTCTTTGGAATGTAAAGTGTAACTGAATTCGTTGTAACCAAAATGTTAGTTTAAATTCAAAAAAAGTGTTTTAAAAATAGTAGATTAAGTAAAAAATAACATACAGAGTGAAATTGAAAAGCTGCATGTATCAATGAAAATATTTTGCTGCATTATTATTATTGATAAATATTTATAGATGAAGATGTTAAATTGTTTGAGGCATTTGATTTCAATATCTTTTCTTAGAAATTTTAAACTTAGACAATTTTTTGTGAGAAGCATATATACATATATATATATATATATATATAATTCATATGTAGTACGATTCAACAGTCATGTTCTTATGTGCATAAATTAAGGATAGTTCAAAATTACACAGAAATCGAACTCTAAATTAAAAATTTCACCTGTAGAATTATCACAAATGTAATATGCAAATTACAGTAAGGAACCAGATGACGCCGATATTAAATAACAATGACGAAAGTGTGAAAGAAGGGTATGTAAGGAATGGTGGCGAAGAATACGAAGTTATAATACGAAGGATGTATGTGGATGACTTTTTTACTTGGTAGAATTATCTATCTACTGAAATGGGTGGGAATACTCAAGTGGAAATATCAGAGAAACTAGGAAATACCCAATGTGTCATCTCTAGGCTCTGGCAACGATTCGAAGATGATGGTAATGTCAGTAGACGTTACATTCTTGAGATGAATTAAGGTTATATCCGAGTTACAACCCTGAACGAAGACAGGTATTTTGCAGTATAACTACCAAAAAAAGCAGACGGAGCGTAGAATCCTACCTGATTCGTCAGCTATCTGCAACCATGGGTACCACAGTTTTAAGGCAAATCGTAAATAGACGTTTGGGAAGTATTGAGCTATATGTTCGCAGGCTTGTCAGATGTGTTCCAATCACTGCAACTAACTGTTTCCAGCTATTAGCCTGAATCAGAGAATATGCAATGTGGTCATAGTCACAGTGATGTTTCCTGACGAGTCCATGCTCAGCTTGCAGTCTGATTCAAGTCGAACTTTCATATGGAGAACGAAAGGTACCCGTTACTACCAAGACAACATAATTGTTAAGTTATACTTGTCTCCAGAAAAGTTCTACTTGTTCAAATCGGAACCATGACAGGATGTTTCTGTTTGTTTAGAGGTGCCATGGGTATAAAATTCACGTTTACGGAGGACAACGCCAGTCCTCACTGAGCAAACATCCTAAACTAATGCCTTCAATCTGAGAATATCACCCGTATCGTAACCTGACTTGAATCCGATAGAGCATGCGTGGGACATACTTGGTCAATGAGTAGCAGCCCGTCAACCACCTCCTACCTGTGTACCGGAACTTCGGAGAGAATTGCTTGCTGAGTAGATAAATTTTCCTCAAGATCACCTCGATAATTCAGCTCCTCAACATCAAGAATACTCGGCATGCCTAGGCATTGTAAGGACAGTATTTCATTGCATGGGTGACATACAATATTTTAACCATCATACCAACCATGTAATATTAATATTTATTTTTTGTAAAGGTGATATATTTTATTTTTTATAATTTTTCTAGGGTGCACAAAAATTATAGTTTTTATAAGTGGTATCAGACATATAACACCTCTTTTGTTATTCATCTTTAGCCTAATAAATGGGCCGTATGAATAAGTCACGTTTGTTTCGTTTCTGATTATTATTTGCTAGACCTGGCATTATCCTTAATCTATGGACACTATAGTGTCAATTAATTAATAAATGCGCACCTGAGTGAATGGCTTTGTAGACAACAATTTGAAATCGGTTTTGAAGATAAATCACCGTGTTGGTGTGGGACTTTCATTAAGCATTTTTTTTAAAAATCATTAGTCATTTACTAGTTAGTCATTATTACAAAGTTTATATGGGTGATTCTCACGAAATATGACAATTCACAGTCCTTTACTCCAAGATCTAATACTATACTACTAAAAAAATAAAAATTAATAAATAGCATTGCTGATAGCATTTCAAAATGACTTTGCACTAGCATTGACTAATTTTGTATAGTTAAAAAATTTAATTCAATTTTAAAATGTCATGTTTCTGGTATGTCACAAACAATATTTCCAATAATAACTAGCTTTAAAACTTCGCATAAATTTTTCAATATCTAATTTATTTTTTATCTCAACCATTGTAAGCATTTCTAGAATATACGCAGAGGGTATTATTTACTAAAACTTCGTCTATAATAATTTTTTCTGTCAGTAATTAGTTTGTCACATGAAAATCTGTCATTTTCCTGGCTACTTTTATTTAGTGATTTATAACCAAAATGGATAGAGCCAACAATCAATATCTTATGTTAATAGATTGATTAGATACCATCCTATATGAACACGTCTTGTTGCATGAATAAAGAACCAACTTTCTGGTTCAAAATCTATTTCAAAAATTTTTTCAAGGTGAGTAGGTTTTTATGTTGTCATTTTCCTGTCTCCTTGAAATCATTCATAACATAAACTACTTAGATTTATCTGAGTTATTTCAAGAAATCCTGTTGTTTTCTGCGGAATGAAAACGTCTTATGACAAAATGTTAAATTAAAGTAAAGTTAATTGCTATAAAATTGCAAATTCGTCATTATCTTGGCTGTCATTTTCCTGGCTTATGAATGTCAGGATATTGACGTGTTATCAGAAAACTTTTTAAACTGTATACTGTAAAGAGGGATAGCAAATATTAACCTAATACCACGTTTATGTATGATTGTAATATGCTTGAATGTAATCCAAGTTATTTATTTATTTAATGATTGATTATTATTCACAATTTTATTCTGTACGTATCAGGAACAAAAATTTTTTTGATTCTACAGTGGATAAAAATAATTAATTTAAGCAATTAAGCATCTAACATAAAGGCTTAAGTTGAGTTACTTACTATTAACTTAAAATGACTGTTTTTTTAAACTTCTAAGCTAATAAGTCATTTTCCTGGCATTCAAGATTTGGCGAATTTCTATTTTTTTTTCTCGAGCAAATGTCAATAAACTGCACTGCTGTCTGTAAGATATTAATAAATGTAACTAAAGAAGTATACGAAAAAAGTTTAGATCATTTTGAAGACTTTAATTTTGAAGAAATTGTTTGGTCCGAATTGTCATGTTTCCAAAGAATCCCCTATATAAGAAAAATTTATTCATTATCAATGGTCATCAAATCAAGTAGTCATCATTAGAACCCTCACAAAATGTTGAGTGAATTATTGAATGGAATTAAAATAAATAACGTATTTAGCTTACTTAGCGTCGTAATCATCCATAACACTAAAGACAAATTCATTAACATCTTGTTGTTCTGTTATCCGATTTCAGTTCACAATCCCATTTTACTCTCATTCCAAAGTTTTACTTAAATTCCTCAACGAGATAAATTAATCAATCGAAGAGTGACATGTGGACATAAAAACCGTTTCTTCTTAGCTGATAAAACGACACTCAACAACTGATAAGAAGAATAAGAAAAAAATTCACTCCTTTCTTAAGAAAGGCATGATAAGAAATAAACGTTTCGATTTTGGTATTAATGTACACAATACCAACATGATAAATGAAGGTATATCTTTAGCAACCTCTCGAATTATATTTTCTGAATATGAATTTGAAGGTTTTGAAATGTTTGTCTTTCGATTTACATTTACTAAGAATTATATAAAACTTAAATTTGCTATCGAATAAATGCAGGTCAATAAGGTCAATTTTAATGAACTGATTTTCAGTTCAATTATAATTTTTTTTTTCTGACTCGGTAAAAATAAAATTTTGTTCATTATATGATAATAATTTTTTTTAAATTATTCATTTATTTTTCAGATACGCCTCGGATAACATCGTCTAATCATAAAGTATTTGAAATATTCACTACTTCTCAACCTTCAGTTACCGAAAATTACAAAAAAGATAAATTTGATACCGATCAACGAGCACTTTTTTTACCGTATTATTTTTTAGATCCATTATAACTTAATGTTTTCAGCTATGGTAAAAATAAAATTTTGTTCATTATATGATAATAATATTTTATCAAAGCCTCTTTCATAATATTGTTTAAGCAACATGCCTTTGAAATGTTTATTACCTTTAAACCTACATTTACTAACAAATTATATATATAT